GTCGTACCTGTCCAGCCACAATCGACGCTTTGACAAAAGATGGGTAGGTCTGGAGCTGTATCCTGTCTGCCTGATTTCAGAGGGCGTGATTGACAGACAGATTAACCAGTCAGAGGCACATGTGCTGTACGTGTTGAAAACAAACATGGCTGCCTGCATGTAAAAAAAATATGAAGTATGAAGTATTTATATTAAATTATTATATAACATATTTACATTTGCTGCCAAAGTTTCGTCACCTGACAAGCTCGAGATCAAACAGTGACAGTCCAGGCACACACAGATTACTCAGGGATGTGACTGGCCAAGGGCAAAAAAGGAGCAAAATATATAGACCCATAGTGTGGCGCCACAATGAAAAGTGTTAATATGCTGTAACCGGGTGATTAGACTATGTTGTCCTGCTGTGTTGCGTTTGTGAGTGCGTCCACCTGTGCGTCGCTGCGCGTGGCTCCTGGCGTCACTGATTGCGCGATTAGAAAAGGCTGCGCACGCTGTGGTGTGGCAGTCGGGGCTTTCGGTGGCTTTTGAAGGCAGCGCGTGTTGTCTGGAGTAGGCGGTGGTGCCGGCGGCCGCTCGTAGCGCGCTCGGAGCCCCATGTAGAGTGCCCCCCTTCCCCTTCTAAATTTGCGATTGCCACTGCTGCATCATTCTTGCTTTTTATTCTTTATCTTAGTGTTGGTTTTAGTTGAATATTGATTAACAGTAGCCGAGGTCTTGGAGGAAAGTGCAATATTTGGTCAGGGGTCAGTGCAATGCAAGGTTAGGTCTTTGGGTTGGCACAAGTCACTTTCGCCCAAATAGGCCTCCTTACCACGAGCACTTTCACCAGCTTTAATTTTATGCCCTTTATTGTAACAAAGTCTACCTCAGATACCTTGGCACACGCACTTTAAATAATATTACATAATTCAGGTTTACAGCGCACCCGCACTTTAACTTATTGTAAATGTAGGGTTCAACTAGTGTTTTTTTTTTTTTTTTTGGTATTAACGTTTGGTTTGGCTTATTAATTTGATTTGTTGTGTTTTAGTTTGGGGTGTTGTTGAGTCCTACATTTATGATAATTGAGGGGTGTATCAAGAAGGGAACCAGGAAAATGAAATGTTTCTTTTAAATGTTTAGAAGATTAAATAAAGATGTGTAACTTTTATACCACATTGCCCTTGTCCTTTTTTATGCCAGAACGGATTCTGTGAGTAAATAAGGATTCTCGGTCCCAACATTACAATGCAAACATTTAGTGGCAACTCAGAAATTTCATCATTGGAAAACAATTAATTTGAGGGGAAAAAAACTCAAACACATGCCAAACAATAGGTGCTCACGTTTAAGAAAAAACAACAGTGTGCAAAGAGAGAGAGAGAGAGAGAGAGAGAGAGAGAGAGGGGTGTTTTAATGTCGGAATATCCGGAATTCCACATGTATGATTACTGTAGTGTAGTTAAGGACAGCAAAATGCCGAATGATCGTCAGGGTCATACAGTTCTGTTATACGGCCAACCCAACCCTGGTCCTCCATCACAATCAGGAGCGATAATGTGGCCCCCAGAGAAAAAGGTTTGGTGACCCCTGCCTTAATGCCCTTTTAAGGTGTTTGAGGGTGCTATTTTCAGAAAATGGAAATCGCCTAAAGGTAGAGAAACGCAAGTTTTAACAGTTGCTAAAGTTTCGTGAGTTTTCATCATTGTTCACTGGATGAAAAATGGGTGAGAGAAAGAAGAATACTCCAATGCAAGAACAATGTTATATTGGATGGGCCTACATGTTAGAATTTTTTACATACCATTCTTCTAAGCAGAAGTAAAATGTCAAAGAAGGAAGTAGTATCTTACGAGAATCATAAAGCTCATCT